ATAGACTATGTCTAACATGCAACATTGGATTGTCAGTTTTGCATGATTTAAAACAGGTATCTTCACTACTTTGCCATTGATGGGTTGGCTTCACGGCTTGTGCTTTCAGAGTATGGTTGTGAGCCTATAATTTTTAGATCCCTCAATGTGTAAATTAATGCTTCAGATATAGATGATCAAACTACATAATGAGGTTTTTTAGTGAATTACAATAGAAGTTTGAACTAATTATGCAGTGAGACTAATTACTAACTAATTGCAATGAATTACTAGCTAATTACTAATTGCAGTGGAACTTTGAACTAATTATGCAACTAATTATGCTATATGATGGAAATATGAATTCCCAGTAGGTCCTCGAGTGCATTTTTCCAAGAGGTTGCACTGAGCATTTTAATAGCTTGGTTTTTAACCAATGGTAAACAAAGTATAAAATGAACAATTCTATCCAAGTATTCCATCTTTAATCTTTGGAAATGGAATCTTTATTTCTAATCTGGTAAGTTCTTTAATTAAGCATTTTGAGTTAGCCAAATAAACAGTTAAATGCTTATCTCTTTCTCCTCCTCCTCCTCCTCCTCTTCATCATATGTTTTCAGACAGATGTAGGAATACTCAACTGGTCTCATATAAAAACACTTTATACTTAGATTTTCTACTTGAACTAATATACTTTTAAATACTTGTATCTTTATCCTCCTCATTCTCATATCATATTTTTGCAGACACAGGAATACTCAACTGTTCTGATGTAAAAATATTGTTCGGTGTTTTACTTAGAATTTTCACATTACCCAAACTCAGAAAGCTTTTTTGTGATGCTTTGTGAATGAAATTCATGAATCAATACTTGTTTTCTTCTTTCTTCTAGCTTACTAGTAGAGGATTTAGTGGTTCATCCTGTTAGTTGTGCATTGAAGCAAAGGGTTGCTTACAGTATCACCTTAATCAATGAATGTTACTTATGATATAGTAAACATATTTACAGTATGTTCAAATGTACAACAAATACAAAACCCCAGCTCAGCTGTGGTGACCACAACTTAACATATGTATGTGAAGGTATCTTGTTGGCAATGGAATAATATATTCTAGGAAATAGACCTAATGTTGCAAGTTTTGAAATCCAATTCATCTAAAAGCAGATTTAAATATTAGTTTGGCATTCTTCTAAAAAGCATTTCTTCTTGGACAAGAAATACTAGTTGTGCTGCAGAACGGGACTGTACTGTACACTGATCAGACACTTTGAAATGTTCTAAAAATTAATTGTAAAAATTAAGATTATAGTTCACAAATTGGAATTAATTTCAGATGCAAGTGTGATGAATTTTGAGGTATTGTAGCCAATTGATGGCAATGATTGTTCCATAGAATACTTCCTGCAGAAGTGGATTACTTTTCTGGCTAAAGTCGGTAGGACAGAATTATAAATTCATATAGAGTGATCAATCACTTAGGAGAGTACTAGAATTTAACAGAAAATATATTTTAGAAAGAAATCTACATTCTTTCACACAGAGAAATATTTCCTGGAATATGCAAGAAGATGATGGTAGATATGAATCCATTATTTGTTCATTGACACTGCACCCCTACATCATAGGGTATATTCTCTCCAGTACAACATTGTATTTTGAAAAGAGAATATTTATCAAAAGCCCATAATACATAAATAAGCAATCTGTCTTTTTTTAGTTTAGTTTTTAGGGTGATTTCATAGTCTCACCTGGACATTTTCAGACAATCCAGCAAAAGTCATATTGCTATAAGGTTTTTCCCTTTCTTTTTTATTCAATCAGAGGGAAATAAAGAATGAAGAAAAATCAAACCACCGTGACTGAGTTCATCCTTGTTGGATTCATGGACCACCCAGAGCTTCAGTTCCCCCTCTTCATCATCTTTCTGCTCATCTATCTCATCACACTGGTGGGAAACATTGGCATAATCATTCTAACAAAAATTGATGCTAGGCTTCACACTCCTATGTATTTTTTTCTTAGAAATCTCTCCATTGTAGATATTAGTTATTCTACAGCTATTGCCCCTAAATTGTTGACAACCTTGGTGATTGAACATTCAACCATTTCCTTGAAAGGATGCACCACACAATTCTTCTTTTTTTTCATTTTTGTGACCACTGAAGCGTGTCTTCTGGCTGTGATGGCATATGATCGCTTCATAGCAATCTGCTATCCATTGCGGTATTTTGTTGTCATGTCAAAGAAGCTTTGCACCCTCTTGGTCATAGCTGCCTATGCTTGTGGGTTTGTAAATTCAACAGTACACACCCTAGTTATTTTTAGCTTAAGTTTCTGCAACTCAAACATCATTAATCATTTTTTCTGTGATGCTCCTCCAATGCTTCAATTGTCCTGTTCAGATACCCACTTTGCTCGCTTTGTGATTTTCAATGCATCCAGTACAGTTGGACTGACAACTTTTCTGGCTGTTTTGATCTCCTACATTGCCATTGTTATTGCCATCCTGAAGATCAGCTCTGCCCAAGGAAGATACAAAGCCTTTTCCACCTGTACCTCCCATCTAATCACTGTGACCATTTTCTTTGGAGCTGCCATCTTCATGTACATAGGACCTGGATCCAGTTTCTCATTGGATAAAGACAAAATCATATCTGTCTTTTATACTCTTGTCATCTCCTCTCTTAATCCATTCATCTATAGTTTGAGGAACAAGGAAGTGAAGGATGCGATTAGCAGAATGCTAGACAAGTTAACTTTCCTGAAGTAAAAATAGTATAAATTTAACTTGCTTTATGTTAAAGAAGCAAACCAGTATTTCTCTGAGAAAAATACTATCGAATGCTTGATAAGCGGATAAGCGGCGGTCTCCTCAGAGACCGTTTTATGTAGGAAAGAAGGTTTATCTATCTACTAGGTATTTGAGATTGAGGTTGCCTAGTAAGAAATTAGGACCTAAGTTCCTCCATCCTTTCCCTATAGTCAAAATTATTAATTCTGACACAGTTGAGTTAAAACTCTCACAACTGTTAAGAAAAGTTCACCCCATCTTCCACTGCAGCTTATTAAAGCTAGTCACAGAGGAGTCATTCATCATAACAGATGAGGGACCAGAAGTCTATACACAAAGAGATCTCTCGTAAATTTAGCTGATTCTTTAATAAAAATGCAAATCAGATGAAGAATGGGAAAAGGCAAAAACAGATAGAGAATGCCAAGCCAAAGGAGTTCACAGAAATGCAGTATCTTATTGACTAGTACCTATCAAAGTTTGTACACAATCTCTAATGTTTACCAGTTGTCTTGATTGCTACTCTAATGCTTTTCATGTGGAAGTGAAAATTAATCCAAGATAAAAAATTTCAAGAGGGAGAAGAACATGGACTCCAAAGATCCCAGCAACTAGTATAACAGTGTTCATTCACAATTATGAATCCCTAGTTTTTGCTAGGAGGGCCAGAAAAATAAAAATAGAAGCCAAATGACATATGCCCAGATAGAAAAATAGTTACAAGGAACATTTGGAACGAAGACAAAACCTCCATATAGGCAGTCCATGTTTGGATAGACTATGTCTAACATGAAACTTTGGACTGTTAATTCTGCATGATTTGAAAACAGGTATCTTCAATATTTGCCATTGTTAATTTGGCTTCACTGATTATGAAGGCTGTGATTGACGTTCTTTAATCTTAAGGTCCCTCAATCGGCAAGTTAATGCTTCAAATAAAAGTGTATTAAACTACATAATGAGGTTTCTTAATGAATTCCAATGAAAGTTTGAACTAATTATGCATAGTAGCTATATAGTGGAAACATGAATTCCCAGTAGGTCCTCAAGTGTATTTTAATAAATTGCTTTTTACTTTTAATAAATTGCTTCTTCTTATATCCAAATGGTAAACAAAGTATAAAAGGAAAAATTATATCCAAATGGTCCATCTTTCATCATTTGAATCTTCATTTCGAATCTGGTAAATTCTTTGAATAAGCACTTCTAGTTAGCCAAATAAATTGTTAATTGCTTATATCTTTCTCTTACTATTACTACTACTGTTTTACTTAGAATCTCTTGTTATCCAAACTCCAAAAGCTTCCTCATGATGTTTTGTGTGAATGAAATCACTTGCACTACATGAAGAATGAAATTCATGACTCAACAAATGCTTATTCTTTCTTCTAGCTTACTGGTAGAGTTTGTAGCAGTTCATTCTATTAGTTCTGCATTGATGAAAAGGATTGCTTACAGTATCTCCTTAGTCAATAGTTCTGTATTGAGGCAAAAGGTTGCTTGCAGTATCACCTTAGTCAATTTAGGTTACTTATGATATAATACATTCATGTTCAAATGGACAACAAATATATACTGCATCTCAACTGTAGTGACCATAACTTTACAATGGAATAACATATTGCAGGCCATAGCAGTAATACTACAAGTATTAAAATCCAATTAATCTAAAAAAACAGGTTTAGATATTAGTTTCACATTCTTCTAAAAAGTATTTCTTCTTGGAAAAAGAAATACTAGATGGGCTTCAGGACAGGGCTATAGTGTACACTGATCAGCCACTTTGAAATGTTCTAAAATGAACTGTAAATGTAAAGTTTATAATTCACAAATTGGAATTAATTTCAGATACTGGTGAAATGGATGTTGGTGCATAGTAGCCAATTCATGCCAATAATTGTTACCCATAACATTTCCTGCAGAAGTGGACTATTTTCTGGTTGAGGTCTCTAGGAGAGAATTATAAATTTACACAGAGGGATTGATCATTCTGATTCCTTTGAAGAGTACTAGAATTTAGAAAAAATACATTTTAGCAAGAAGTCTACATTCTTATAGACAGAGAAATGTTTCCTGGAAGGTGCAAGAAGATGATGGTAGGTATGAATGCAATCTTTGTTAATTGATGCTACACCTCTATATATAGTAATGTGCATGCTGTCCAGTACAACACTGTATTTTGAAAAGAGCATTTTCATCAAGGGTCCATAATATAACAGTGAGGACTCATGCTTCTCAAGCAAACTGTTCCTTTTTAGTTTAGTTTTTAGTTTGGGGTTTTCTTAATCTCCTCCCTTGGACATTCTCAGACAATCCAACAGTACTCATACTGCTATAAGGCTTTCCCTCTTTTTTCGTTCTGTCAGAGGGAAATAATCAATGCAGACAAATCAAACCACCGTGACTGAGTTCATCCTTGTTGGATTCATGGACTACCCAGAGCTTCAGATCCCCCTCTTCATCTTCTTTCTGCTCATCTATCTCATCACACTGGTGGGAAATATGGGGATAATCATTCTAACAAAAATTGATGTTAGGCTTTACACCCCCATGTACTTTTTTCTTAGAAATCTCTCCACTGTAGATGTTGGTTATTCTACTGCCATTGCCCCCAAATTGTTGACAACATTTGTGATAGAACATTCAACCATTTCCTTCACAGGATGCACCACACAATTCTTCTTTTTTGTCATCTTTCTGACCACTGAAACTTGCCTTCTGGCTGTGATGGCGTATGATCGCTTCATAGCAATCTGCTACCCATTGCGATATTTTGTTATCATGTCAAAGAAGCTTTGCACCCTCTTGGTTATAACTGCCTATGCTTGTGGCTTTATAAATTCAATAGTACACACCATAGTTATTTTTAGCTTAAATTTCTGCAACTCAAAAATAATTAATCATTTTTTCTGTGATGCTCCTCCAATGCTTCAATTGTCCTGTTCAGATACCCACTTTGCTCGCTTTGTGCATTTTATTTTATCCACTGCAATTGGAATGACAACTTTTCTGACTGTTTTGATTTCTTACATTGCCATTGTTATTGCCATCCTGAAGATCAGCTCTTCCCAGGGAAGATACAAAGCCTTTTCCACCTGCACCTCCCATCTGATCACTGTGACCATTTACTTTGGAACCGTCATCTTCATGTACATAGGACCTGGCTCCAGTTTCTCATTGGATAAAGACAAAATCATATCTGTCTTTTATACTCTTGTCATCTCCTCTCTTAATCCATTGATCTATAGTTTGAGGAACAAGGAGGTGAAGGATGTGATTACCAGAATGCTAAACAAGGTAACATTCCTGAAGTAAAAATAGTATAAATTTAACTTGCTTTATGTCAAAAAAATAAACCATATTTGCATTTTCTCTGTGAAAAATATTATTGAATGCTTGATGATATTTTGAGCAGGCAGAAGAGAGCTGAAATTGCATATATTACTAATAGATAAATAAAAATAGAGATAAAAAATAAAAGGACAATTGATTTTAAATGATCTAAAAGAAGTATAATTGCATTTTATTAAACAAAAAATATTGTCTGAATATTTTTCCTGTGTAAATGTATGTATATTACAGACAGAAACATTGAAGTGGGAAAAAAATGTGTCAAAGTCAATCATTTGATCAAATGACAAAGTTTAAAAGGAATCTGCATTTTCATATAATTCATATTGAGAATTCCTTGTTATTTATCAGCATTGAAGTGAATGGAACTGATAGAATGTTTATAACATTTATTGGTAAAGTGCAACATGTAAGATCAGTTTTGCTTTATTGCTCTCATTTAAATAGTTCCAGTCAATTTTAGCAACATTTCTTCAACTTATAAAGAAAATGGGGAATGGTCACAAAATAATATTAATTA